AGACTCCAAAGTTTGTGTCTGCGTGGACTGCTGGAACAGAGAAGCTTCTTGTTTGGCTGGTTTTATAGTTCCTTCACCTTCACTCCTTCCACAAATTCAAATTGCCCTCCTCTTCCCTCTTCAAAAGTCACAGAACAAAGTCTGCTATGCTTTTATCTGCAAGCTGTCATTCAGCATCCAAATCCATCTTGGTTTCTGAGCATGTTATGAAGGTATGCAGTGAGCTATAACTTTCAAGGTGTGTTTTCTTTTTTAGTAAAGAGGTAATTATTTTCTACATGAAGCAAAACTCTTAAATGTTCCACCATCACCTCATTATTAAGGATTATAGCATGAACTCTCTAGAAACATCCCAGAATTTATACTTTGATGGAGGACAACTGTTCAGTAGTGTATATTTGTCTTTACTGGAGGATAATTAAACTGCTATGGTTTCCTATTACGGCTTTTTTTTTCTGTAAGTTAACATCATACAGCTTTTAGTTTTATTGACCGACTATGAATGTATTGGAAAGATGGAAGAAATGCTTTCTTCTAATTTTCTTCAGCTACTACAAATGAGACACATCACCACCTTTTGTGAATAGGATGCTGTGGAAACAATGAGTAGTCTTATAAAACGAGACAAGCACAGGGAGAAATAATCTGTCCTCAAATTAAAAAAAGCTGCTTGCTTAAGTGTATCCTGTACAGGCCTTGAGCTGCTATTCTCTACTGGTTCTTGGTATTTCACATTTGAAGTGTTCTAACTGATACCAAAAAGGGTTGTGAATTTAAATGTTTTACCAGAAAATCGGTATGGAACTAGCTCTTTTTAACACAAGTATAAAATGAAAATCCTTTTTTTTTTTTTTTATTCCATTGAAAGGCTTGTTTGAACAAATTCAGGATAATCTCTTAACCTTGTCTGACAGGAGGAAATAGAAATATTTACATTTGGTATAGGATGAATTAATAAGACAATGCACTTGAGAATCTGAATTTATATTTATTCTGCCATCATATCAGACTTTGACCTGCAGAATATAAATAGCAAAGAGCATTACTGAACTATTTTGTCTAATTATGGGATCCATTTATCACTTGAAAATGTTTCAATGCAGAAGACAAAGCCTAACATTAAGTGGCTAAAAGAATTGTATCTGGAGAACTAGTATCAAGTATTTCAATGGTGTGAATTCGGACAAACACTCTCCCAAATTCAGCGTTCATGGGCAGAATAATGAAATGCATTTTAACACAAGCAACTGGAAGTACCATTATATTGCTGTCTTCTGGGTACAAAAGTGAATCAAAACCTTGTCTTTCAGCGGATAGTGGACATGGGAGTAACTGGAAAGGAAAGCTGAGGCTAGTATCAGATTAAGAATAAATCTCCCACAAAAGCATATCTGTTGTGTGACAATTCGTAGTTTAATTTAATACCACCTGCAGTTTTTGTGATTCCCTCCCCCGCCCCCAACATGTCATTTACCTTTTTCAATCCGACTGTAACCTTATTACAATACAGAGACTTTCTATTAGAGGTCACAGAGGTAATTTAATCAATTGGTAGTTTCTGACATTAACATGTAAATCTGCAGAATGTGAATGGCTTTGAGCTATTGCTCATCCCAGGAACGGCTAACTTAACACAGAAGTTGCAAAATGTACTTTTCTTGGAAAATTTGAAGTTATAAGATTGTATCGCTGGTCTTTACTTGCCCTCTAGCCATGTGACTAGAGAAATGACTAGGGCAAGTTCTGATGTTACAGCAGTACAATTCAGTACAATTGATTCTATTATATCACAATTTACACTTATGTAATAGCTGACATGTAAATGGTGCTGTTCCCTGCTGGCAGCAAGGACAGCCTAATGCTGTTAATAGCAGGCTGACAAGGCTGCTTTAGCCAGCAACAGATTGACTCTAACAATCCCCAGGAGCGCTGCGCTATGCTGTAGCTGTCTTCCTTTTCGTTATCACTTAGCTTAAACCTACCCTCTTTCCTCTATTTCAACAGGCTTCCCAATTTTACGTAGCATAGCTCAGTGATTTGAGGAACCAGCTCTACTTGTTTGCACTAATAAATGTAAGAAATTCTTCACAGTACTGCTCGCTCTTACTTTTCTGATATAATAATGCTCAAGAACACTTTCCTTGTGCTGAGGACCTTCATTATGTGAATATTTTCTTGAAAAGGAATGTCTAAATGCTGGTTTTAAACGCCTACACGCTTGCAGGGAATTGGATCAGTTTCTGCTGTTTTGCAGGGTTATATGGTATTGGTCAGAAACGTATAAAAGGAGTAAGAATGCTCCCTTTCCTGTAAGGGAATGTACGGTAATTTTTTAAACGGGATTCAGAGGTAGAACATTGCAGTAGAATTCCACTTAAGTACATTTTTAAGTAAGTTAATTCTGCATTACCCAAGGAGACCTGACTTTCAAAAATGATACCTAATTAAATTGAGATAAAATGCCTAAGTTCTATAAAAAGGCATCACAACCAGCTAGGTGAGGACTGCTTTTTTAATACTTGACCACCTTTCAACTCCATACTTGGATATTTAAAGAGGAATTTTCCTCTTTTTCTCCCTTTGCAGTGAGTGACCTCCCAGATGCGACACAGCAGGTGTCGTGCCCTTTACCATTTTCTTTCTTACCATGTAATTAGACTTTCTCTGAACATTTCTAGCAGATTTTTCAAGATTATGTAAGCAAGCAACCGAATTAACATACTGGAACTATTCAATCAGAGTACTCCCCAAACTTGGACATAAGACAGTGATGCAGGAACTAAGAAGCAGTACACAAACTTTGAAGTAAAATTAATCACATTGTTTATTACCAGGGAAGACTGCAGCACATGTCTAGTATTCTGACAGTTTGCAGAGGATTTTGAAACAGGTTTTGGTTTTTCTTTTTTTTTCCCCCCCGAGAAATTATAGCTGCTAATTCTGCATGGCCCTAGATAGACGTTCGCACAGTTACACCGCACTAAAACCACCACTAAATCGTATGTCCTATCAATAGGAAGTCTTCCGAAGTTCAAATAATGGTATTTGCTAAGACAAATAAAAGCCACCTATTTCTGCTTTGTTGGTTCTGCGGCAGCGTTTCCCTACGAGCCGCTGTTCAGCTGTGTGTTGGAGGCCGCTGCATTCATAGGCATAACTGCAGATGACATGCACGCGATGAGATTGGCAAGGGCGAGAAGTCACTTTTCACCAAACAGAAAGTAACAACTCATTCTCCTGAGAACCTGGAACTGCTGGGGAACGCCTGAGACAGTGAAGACTAACGCAGTTAACAGCCAGGGGCCTGCGAACAAAAATAAACCTCGTTCGACACCAGAAATCTCCGCTCCCAAATGTTCTCAACAGCTTAAATCCAATGCATGTACGGTTATGTGTGGATGGAAAACACGTAATTAAGGTATTTCATGTAATATTTCTTTTCAAATGCTGATAAGCTTAAACACAAGCCTATTTCTCACAGCAGAAATGATCAAAGTACTAATGGAAAGGAGGGACTTTACAGCTGAAGTTATTGCCACAGAAACAAATTTTTACTATGAGAGTATGCGTGGAATTATTGGAAGTGCAAGAGCTAATACACCACCATTGACTAAAACAATTTAATGACAAAACAATACATCATGAGATCTACAAAAAATAACTTGGGCTGCTCAAAAAAACGTTTTGAAGCAGGGGGGGAAGGGAAAATTAATGCCTCCCCTCTGAACTTCCAT